GATCCGTAGTCCTGGACTGCGGTAACCACATACTCAAATAAATTCAAAGTTTGTAAATGGAAAGAGATATTCATATTTGATCTACTAAGTCACAGAAACTTTTTAAAATGGATTTCTGCCTCAGAAAAGAGTATCCTGCTCTCAGATCCCCTTACCGAGGGCACTGAAGTTGAGAGCAGAATCAGATCTAAGCTCAGCTTTTCACACTGATGACCGGCATCAACCTGCATGGCTCACAGCCTGCTTCTGGGTTTGTTTCTGAGCGTGTACAAAACCTGTGTCCGGCTGTCCCTCATTATGTATTAGGAGCATGAATGAAGTTAGAAAATGTTTTGAACGTTCCTCAAAAAAAAAAAAGGCTATTGGAATAGTTTGAGGGTGAGGTGTACTGCCAATATTTTTGTAGAGTAAATTATTAAAAGTTGGAAAGATCATAACGTACATCACGTAGTAACAGAAGCCACGTTTAAGTGATCTGGTGATCTTGTATTTCGTAAGAGGGAGACAGGTCAGGACACACAAAGCCTTGCATCTGTTGGCTCCAGCTTTTAGAGGGCTGCTTTCATTTGGGTCCCTTGAAAAAGAACTTTCGGGCCCCTGCATCCAGAATTTACTTCTTCAACTACGTCGGCTCTGGAGTGCTGTGTTGGTGTAATTGAAAACCTATAAAAAGGCTGAGAGCTACTTTTGAATTGGCTCAGTGAACTTGGACTGGATTTGTCAAAGTGGTGAAAGGTTTAAAGGAATTTTCATAAATGAGGTCTCCAAGCTATGTTTTAACCATAGAATTCCAATGAACTCCGAGGCCCGTGAACTTGGAGAATAGCGCCTGTGAGCACGGCAGTCATATCTAGATGGATATATATGTTTCATTTTCATTCCACACGTTCTGCAGACGTAAGCACACTCAGCCGCTGATACTCATAATTTAGCAGTGCTGTTGTGCACTAAAAACACAATTTAAAAGTATAATCTTTAATTAAGTGGAGTATTCACAGATTAACATGGTTACAAATCTTGGGCGCTGGATAGAGTGCAGTGTTTACTCCTGTTGCTAGGAAATACAGCAGGGCTCTTCCAGCTCTACAGGCTGATTTGGTGGGAAGAGGGGTGTGAGCTGCACCCAGAGACCAGCTCGCTGTTGCCTCTCTTTTCCATGACGTGTGTAAGTGCATTTCACACAGCAGAAGTCCCGTGTGCTTGGAGCACTTGCTGGCAGGGAACCACAGGTGTGTGCACCCAGGGACACATTCAGGGGGTATTTCAGAGTGATCTTACCCAGAGTGACGTATGAAATAAGCACCGTGAGGTGAGTATTTGGGATTTCAGTAAAATGAATTTTGATTAGTTAGAATTATCACAAAAATCGATTGCTTTCGAATCTACTGATTGTGAGGCTGATTGAGGGTTTCGTGTTGTCAGTGGGGAACTGGCAAATTAGGACAGAATTTGATCCTGGTTGATGGTTTTCCAAAATCACCAGAACTTGCATGTGGGAAACCAACTCTGCTGTTCTTTTCTTTCTCCCCTCTTTGGCAAACCTCACTGCATGATGCAGTGTACAATAGTTCTTTAAAAAATGCAAAGCTGACACTTGCACAGCCTGCAGGGGAGTAGCTGTGCCAGCTCACTTGCCTTGTCCCTGTAAAGATGAAAGATTGCTGTGTGCTATTTCAGTCAGGATTAGGCATGAAAGCGTCCTTCCCCAACTCATATGCAGAACTAAGAAAAAACCCACAGGGACAGATCCCTGTTTGATCTATTTGAGGCAAGCCCTTGCATACAAGGGCTGGCATGTCCAAGCAGGGGCCCTTCCGAAGAGAGGGGAAAATAGCAGCGTGGTTGATTGTCTCAAGGAATGAAGTCAGTGCTAGGATGACATGTACTTGTTACAGGATTATAGCCTGTGTCCGAGCTAAGAACAACCTGGCTAGAATGAAGAGAAGGTACTCCTGGGGGCCAGCATCAAGGCTGCACTCCAGCAGGTGTGCCCCAGTCTCTCTTGGTAGTTAACACACTTCTACCCACCCCACTCTCTGGACAATTAGCAACTCATTCTTGTAGAAATCCAGTTGTTACTTCTCAACCTGTGCAAGTGTCAAGCAGAGTGTCTGGCATGTACTGTGTGATCAGTATGAATCTCTCAACATATAATGCAGGTAGATGAGTTCATCATAGAAGGCTGGGTGCTTACTCCACTGCTGTCAGAGATACCAGATTACCTGTGTTGCTTACGCTCAGCACGTCCCTCTGAGGCAGGGTACTGTCAGACAAGTGGGCAGTACGGCAGATGGTACAGGTCTCATGGCTCAGCCACAAGTGGGAGTAGGTGATGGGATTGGAAGAAGTTTAAGGCCATCCTTTGCAGGAGTTTTGAAAACAGTGAGATGAAAAAGTAAGATAACGAAAACGGGCATGCAGATTACAAACTTCCTAAGAGCATTAATCCTGAAACATTGACCGTGTCTAAATGGCAGGGGATAAACACTGGGCGAACAGGAGGCAGGAGGACATACTGGTTTTGAACATGGCCTTAACCTCAAAGCAAGGCTCGGCTCAGCTCTGATGGTGTGTGTGATTTGGGATGGCTTATTGAGCCTCTTGCTATTTTGATGTGGTTTCTTTGTTTTTTTCATTCACAAGGACGTATCTGTTGCCTCATTTATTCCAGGGCAGTGTTTGGGTGCTGGAGAGTAAACGGGGACAGTAGCTGTCAGATCCGTGCCACCTTTTTCTGCCTGTTCTATAGGTGAAGACTAGCCTCTGGAGTGACTCAGCAGGCTTTTCTGTTCTCTGACTTCTGGCTGAGTCTTTGCCTGTGGGATCCTCAGCTGGACATAGTGCATGAGTGGACTGTTCCCTGGGCTCTCCCTTCACCTAGGTCACCTCCTGCTACTGAAGGCCCCATTGCTGGCAGGCAGCCGTCTCCTTAACCCTGCTCTCTGGGTTCTGGTAGCTGTGCCCTCCCCCAAACTGATAACTGTTCCCCACCTAGTCTTACAGCTAAAGGTACTGCACCATCTCTTATAGTTTCCCAAAACACTGCCATGTCTTTTGCAAATGCCTTTTTATTAAACCACCGTCAAGTTGTATTTTTTGAGGATGCCACTGTTGCTTGTTGTAACTGACAGTGTGGTTACCTGTGCAGAGGTCCTTGTAAGATTGACATGATTTAAGTAGTATTCTCATCATTAATTTCTTCTTTATTTTTTCTTTTTACCAAGTATTGGGTTTACACTGTTGTTGTTACATTGTTTAAGATTTTTTTAAAGGTGAGAAGAAATCCACTATCTTGCAAATGTTTAAAATGGGAAAAGTGAGGCTGGCGCTGTGGCTCACTAGGCTAATCCTCCGCCTGCGGCGCTGGCACCCCGGGTTCTAGTCCTGGTCGGGGCGCAGGTTCTGTGCTGGTTGCTCCTCTTCCAGTCCAGCTCTCTGCTGTGGTCCGGAAGTACAGTGGAGGATGGCCCAAGTGCTTGGGTCCTGCACCTGCATGGGAGACCAGGAGGAAGCACCTGGCTCCTGGCTTTGGATTGGTGCAGTGCGCTGGCTGTAGCGGCCATTTGGTGGGTGAACCAACGGAAGGAAGACCTTTCTCTCTATCTCTCTCACTGTCTATCTCTCTCACTGTCTAACTCTGCCTGTCAAAAAAAAAAAAAAAAAAAAAAAAAAAGGGAAAAGTGAAACAGGATTGTGAAGGACTAAGGTCCCACAGTGCTGCAGTGGTAGACCTAAGAAGTAAAGTTAGGATTTCCTGACTTGATTGTTTGCACAGAGTGCATGGTCACACCATATCTGGAAAAGAAAGCTTTAAACTATTTGTGTTTGCCTAAAGTAATAGACCCTATTTGTGACCATTGCATGATATTGGGTTGAATCATGGATAACTCTGTATCTCCAGCTTGATTGCTGTGAGGACTGGAGCTAAGCATTTTCCCATGCCACATTCCTCTCGGTAGTTCCAAGACAGATGATGCTTAGCACTGAATTTTTTGAAGTCTTTTGAGAACATATCCGTCTCTATAGAACTGGAATTAACACTGCGTAAGACTAGCATTCTAATGCTTGCATAGCAGATTATCTGCTCATACACACTTTTATGACTTCTGTCTTTGATTTCTCATTGTTGAACTGTATCAAATAGGCCACTCTATGATATTTAGAGTAATCTCTTCTATAATATACAGTATATTCATTCAACTGTTTCTCAAGAATGAAAACAGCAGTTTCCCTGAGGAAGTAGTGGTCAGTTTCAAAAACAAAACATACTATGACTTCTTTCCATCTGGTAATACATTTGTCGTTTTTACTGAGATTTCAGTCACATGGATGTATCTCTCAGTGTCTTGTCAAAATTGTCCAAGTCTTCTCCAACAAGCTGGAAACAAAGGGAGTGTCAGAAATGTCTGTTTCGTAGTGAAGTAGAACGCAGGGAGGAGTAGCCGTTTGCAAGGTCTTTTAATGTCAGTACAGATAAGAATTTATAGACTGACCTTTCTGTGCAAGGAGCTAAGTCAGCAAAAACAAATACCCTGTGGCCAGAGGAGCCGATTCTTCAGAATGAATTATTGTTATTTAAAAGTTTGGGTCTTGGGTCTTGCATTGTGGCTAAAGCTGTTGCCTGCAACCTAGGCATCCCATATGGGTGCCAGTTCATGTCCCAGCTGCTCTACTCCTAATCCAGCCCCCTTCTAATGGCCTGGAAAAGGCAGCAGAAGAAGGCCCATGTGTCTGGGCCTCTGCCTCCCATGTGTGAGACCTAGAAGAAGCTTCTGACTCCTGGCTTTGGCCTGGCTCAGCCCTGGCTGTTGCAGCCATCGAAAGCACGAACCAGCAGATGGCAGTTTTCTTTCTCTCTCTCTCTCTCTGACTTTCAAATGAATAAATAAATCTTTAAAAAAATTTTCTGGGAAAATGGAATTAAAAATAATTTAAAAGAATGAATCTCTTTATTGTTAGCATTTTCTTTTTTAAAAATTTAAAAAATATTTTTGGTTAGCGTATAATATCTGTATGCTTTTATGGGATATAGTGCACAATTTCAGCACATATACACAGCATAAATTGAGTCTTTAAGTTCAAGTCCAGGCAGAGCCCTTGTCTTCTGTCTGTTAAAACTGTGCTTTGCTATGTTGGACACTGAGAAAATACAGACTTGCCAACTCTTTGTGTACTGTCCTTGGGTTCTCCTCTCCAGAGGAGATATTGTATCACAGTGCTGTGATGCTCCCCACTCAATCCTCATGAAACTTCTCTGGCTTTGTTCTAGCCTTCGATTTTGCCTCGAGTGAAATGCAGTTGTATTTTCATTGAGAGACACATGTGTATTTATAGTAGTTACTATTGTAAATGATTGCACTATTTTCACTACATCAGCTGTGTCAACATGAGGACCAGCCATGTAGGCATAAAATAAGGCCCTTGGTGGGTCAAACTAAAATACACATTATATCCAAGAACCTTGTGCAGCTGTTTGCCAAAAAGAAGTGGCCCAGGGGTCTTCAGAGAAAGTGGTGGTGGTCGCAGCTGTAGTAGGACGCGCTACTTCATTGCAGTCATTCTGCACGCTGCTTTGGTACCTTTTCCTGTGTGGTTGCAGAATTTTCCTGCTAAGAACTTTCTATGCAATGAAGAATGAGAAAAATGAATATTGATGGTGGAGGCATAGAAAAAGCAGTATAGTGGGAAGGAGGGGAGGGAGCAGCGAACTCTACCTGGACTACTGGGCAGGAAAGCGATCCGATTGCCAAAGGCTTCCCAGATCACAGTGATGTTTGATTTAGAGTTAAAAGCCACATGAATTTCCCAGGAAGAAGATTTAGGGGAGAGCACTGGGGTCTGACAGAACTTGGGAAATTGTAAGTATTTCGATGTGATTTCGCAGTAAGATATATGGCGTGGAGTGACAGGAGATAATGGTAAACGGATGGTTGGAGCCAAACCTTGATCCATTTCCCACTATGGAAAAGGGGATCTTATATATCTTTTTCAATGAATGATGCTTATAAATAATCCTGTGTCCTTGTACTCACACTGTCATCTGTGTGGGTGACTTCCAGATTGTTACCTCGAGCACGGGGCTGGAAATCTTTGTTCAGTCAGCTCTCACAGAGTCTGTACCTCCAGTGTGAATTTGTCAGCTTGCTTTTAAAATCATGGCTCTGTCTCAGTTTACTAGCTTCTTAAATGGCCCCAGCTTCGAAGGAAATTATCAGTAGCACTCCCTTCTGTCGAATCCAGCCATATCTCCCACATCCAGACCCTCATTAGGCCTTGTTTATTAAGTTACTCTCATCCTTATAATTCCCTTTCTGTCCCCATTTCTAGTGTATTTATGCAGGTTGTCACCATTTTCCCTTTTGATCATCACTGTAGGACTCTCTTAACCCAGTTCCACTGCTTTCTGAGCAGTTCTGGCCCGGCTACTCTGTTGATCTCTCTAAAGTTTGCATGATTGCATCCATGACTTTGCTGGGAAGGTTTATAAAGTCCTCATTCCAAAGTCCTCAGTAAGAGGACTCATGGTTCGCTGCCTACCTGTCCAGTCTCGTGAAGCCCAGGCCAGACCCTGGCCCTTCTCCAGCCGTGGTGGATGGCTGGAAGCTTCCTGGGGTTTCCAGAGTGTGCTGGTCTCTGAGGCATCTTCCTGTTCTTGCTCCTGCCCCTGTTCTCAGCCTTCCCCCGCATCAGCCCCTTTCTCCTGGCCTCTGCCTGCATGCAGGTTAGGCGTGGTGATGGCTTATTTGGTCAGCCAGACTGCAGGCCTTTCAGTGCCAGACAGCATGCCACCTTTCTTTCACTTCTGCATTCCCCACGCGGAGCTTCGCAGCTACAACCAGAGCCATGGTGTTTACTGAGCACTTACTATAGATCCGCACGGTGCTCATTTATTTACATAGGCTTTGCCTTTAAAAGGGAAACACAAAATCAGGCTGTCTTTGGAAAGGTAATGTGCAAATACGAAGATTAGCAAGAGGTTTGTTTTAAGGGGTCCTGTCAGGACAGTATTTTAGCAACACAAGTGAGAACTTCAAAGAGCTCTGTGCTGGGGCAGAGGTTATAGAAATCAAGCAGAATTTATTAAGGTGGTTCCTAAAGTTGATAGGTGGATGGCTGGATGGCCCAGCAAGTGTTCCTTAGAACTCATTGAGGGACTTGTCAAACATAACTTACAAATTGAAAAGCTTTGATGCAACAGGCTTATTGAATGAGAGGAACAGCCATCTAAGAACGTATAAGAAACAGCCATATGTGGCAACAGCCTGGCAGAAGAAAAGCAGATATGTCATGAGAAAGCAAAATTGCATGGCTTTTAAAAATACACTGTCATGTGTCGCTAGATGAGAGGAGAATACCCCAAGAAATGCTTCAGGAGGTGGTCACGTCATTGTGTGAACATCACAGGGTGTATTCATGCAAACTGAGGTGGCTGGGATGTCATTAGGCAGCATACTTTTAAAAATTTGTATTTATTTCTACTTGAAAGGCAGAGAAAGAGAGCTTCCCCCTGCCACTTCACTCCCCGTGTGTTCACAGTGGCTGGTTCTGAGCCAGGCTGAAGCCAAGAGTTCAGGTTTTCCCTGTGGGTGGCAGGGACCCGGGTGACGGGTGTTCAGTAGGCAAAGGTACACGGGGCAACCGGGATTGGTTTTACAGAAATGGATTGGCAGAGGAAGGGCTGTGAAGGGCCGTTTGAGGAAGCAGTAGCACTGGGGGGCTTGGAGAGAGTGTTCAAATATTCTGGGCCTGCGGCTGCCCCAGCAGAACCAGCAGTAGTGGCGTCTGACAGACCTCGCGGTTGCCTTCATCAGCCAGACAGGAAATAAAGCAGGGTGCTGTGTTCTAAGGAGAAGCAGGTGTGACGTTTCTGTAAAAGAGGCCTCACAAAGGGAAAAAAAAAAAAACAATTTAGCTGACTGTACATTTTATTCTGAGCTAAAGAAAAGGGGCGGGGGTGTCCTTTTTCCCTAACACCAAGTGCTTGAGCCATCACCACTGCCTCTCAGGTGTGCGTTAGTTAGCAGGAGGTTGGAATCCGGAGCAGAGCCAGGACTCAAGCCCACACCCTATGATATGGGATGCAGCTGGTCCATGTGGTGTCCTGACCGCTGTGCCACATGTGTGCCCTATGTGTGCCCTGCTACATCATCTTACAGGATTGCTGTCATACATGTGGGCTGTCATGGCATGAAACATCCCAGTGTAGCACATGACTGTATTTAGAATTTAAAAGGTACATTTAGATCATTACATTAGGTTCAAAATTATTCAGGTACATATGAAAGAATATTATATACGTTCGATCATTCTTTTGCTCAAAAATGCAGCTTCAGGTAAAGTAATCGTAAGTTCAGGGGTCGTTAGTGAGAGCAGTGGTTAAAGGTAGGTAAAAGTGTGAACCTCCAGGGAGTGGTTCAGATGCCCAGGTCACCCCATATCAGTCTGGTTCTGATAATGCATGCTTTGGGAGACAGTAGGTGATGGCCCAGGTGGTTGGGTCCCTGCCACCCATGTGGGCGACCTAGATCGAGTTCCTACTGCTGGCTTCAGCCTGACCAGCTCTCTTCCTTTGTTTCTCCACCTTTGTCTCTCAAATGTGCTTTTTTATTTTTTCATGAAGTGTAGACCTTGGAATCGGGGTGCTGGTTTGAATCCTTGCTCAGCATTTGCTAGCTGTAGGACTTGGAGCAAATCGCTTAACCTCTAAAGTGGACGTACATTCTTTGTAAGGTGTTTTCAAGGATTAAAAAGAAAAGCACACGCTACTGTAGCGCAATGGGCTGTAGCAAGCGCTCGATGAAGTGTGGGCCAGCCTCCATGTGGACACACGGCTTCATTCCTTGGCAGTAATAAGGAAGTGAGCAGTTACTGCATTTGTGCTTCAGCTTGCTTTTTCTACGGGCTCTCATGTTTTGTAGAGATGAGTTATATTTGCCTTGTTTTATATTAAAAACCACAGTTGTGTGTACTGACATTGACCTAACCCCCGAGGAACCTTACACTCATTAAAGTGCAGCCTAAGTGCATTTGGTTTCCCTACACAATTCATGGAAAAACTTATGAGATGAGCACATGTTAGTGGTGAATGTGTAATGCACACAGTATGTTGCAATACAGTCTCTACATTAGTCCCATTTGGTGGGAAATCTCAAGCCCATTGATTCAGCAGCCCCTTTTCCATTCATTATTTTAGGCAGTTAGTAAAATATCTTAACAAGAAGAATCCTTAAACTACACCATTTCAGGTATATTGAGGAGTTATAAATTGGCCTCTGCGTATTTCAAGGTAAAAGTGATATGCTGAAGGAGGATTGCCTGTAAATTTTTTTTAAAAAAATCATTTATTTAATGACTGGATGGCGAGCACCCAACCACTTGAGTCATCGTCACCACCTGATGTCTCCCAGGGTGCGCATTAGCAGGAAGCTGGAGTTGGGAGTGGATCTTGTCTTTGTTCAGGCTGCTGTCATGAAATGCTGTGAACCGGGTGGCTTGTAAGCAACAGAGACTTGGGTCTCATAGTTCTGGAGGCTTGCAGTCCAAAGTCAAGGCACGAGCAGATTTGATGTGTGCTGAGGGCCTCCCTTCTGAATTCCCGGATGGCTGCTTCTCACCATGTCCTTGTCGTGGGAGGGTCAGGGCACGAATCTGGCCTCTGTTAGGAAAGCAGTAATCCTTTGTGACCTGGTGACCTCCCAGAGGACCCTACCTTGGTAAAACTCCAGCTCATTAGTGGTTGGGCTTCAGCGTATGGATTTGGTGGCCAGTAGGGAGGGACCTAAATATGCGGACCGTAGCTCTACCTCACAGACAATAAACAGTGAATGGATGACAAGCGCCGGGCGAGGCCCTTCCGTCTGCCTCCGTGGCTGCTTGTCTTCCTGGACCTTTGTGATCTCTTCAGTTTGGACACATTGTTGTCACTTCCTGTTACTTCCTGTCACTCTCTCTGCCTCTACCTCTTGTTCCAACGTAGCACTTGTTCCAACGTAACATACCTGGTGTTTGTTGTTTATTGTCAAGTTCCTCCACCAGAATGTTAGCTGAGGAGTGCAAGATTGTCCTTGGTTTATTGCTGAATTCATCAAACCCAGAACTCTGCCTGGCCCACAGCAGGAATTCTGTGTGAATGAAGAATGAGAATATTTTTACAGATGAGAGCATGTCAAAAAATGTGTGGAAAAAGGAATTAAAATGTCATTTATTTTGTTGAAAAAATTTGGAAATTCATATATGCTGGGAGAGGGATATTCAAAGAGTTATTAAAAGTACATATGGGGCTGGCGCTGTGGTGTAGCGAATAAAGCTGCTGCCTGAACTGCTGGCAGCCCATATGGGCACCGGTTTGAGTCCCAGCTGCTCCACTTCCCATCCAGCTCTCTGCTATGGCCTGAGAAAGTAGTAGAAAATGGCCCAAGTCCTTGGGCCCCTGCACCCATGTGGGAGACCTGGAAGAAGCTCCTGGCTCCTGGCTTTGGATCAGTGCAGCTCCAGCCGTTGTGGCCAATTGGGGGATGAACCAGCGGATGGAAGACCTCTCTCTCTCTCTCCCTCTCTGCCTCTTCTTCTCTTTATGTGTAGCTCTGAATTTCAAATAAATAAATAAATTTTTTTTAAAAGTACTTAATATAGGGGCTGGTGCTATGACGTAGTGGGTAAAGCTGCCACCTGTAACGCTGGCATCCCATATGGGTGCCCATTCGAGTCCCAGCTGCTCCACTTCTCACCCAGCTCCCTGCTATTGCTCCTGGAAAAGCAGTGAAGGAAGGCCCCAGTGCTTGGGCCCCTGAATCCATGTGGGAGACCTGCAGGAAGCTCCTGGATTCAGATCAGCCCAGCTCTGGTGCTTGTGGCCATCTGGGGAGTGAACCAGTAATGGAAGATCTCTCTCTGTCTCCCCTCCGACCCTCACCCGTGTAGTATGTATTATGAAAAAACAATGAAAGGATTTAAAAATTACACCAAAATAAATTTGTCTTTTAGTTCTGTATTTGTGCAAACTTTTTATTTGAAAAGAATTTTACTTGTTATTCTTTGCTTTTGTTTAAAAGACAGAGAAAAAGGTGGAGCACAGTCTTCCACATACTGGGACACTCCCCAAAAGTTCTCAATAGCCAGACTTGGACCAGGCTGGAGCCAGGAGCCAAGAACTCCATCTGGGTCTCTCACATGGGTGGCAGGGGCTCGAGAACTTAAGACATCATTAGCTGTCTCCCAGAGTACATTAACAGGAAGCTGGATTGGAAGCAGAATAGCTTGAACTTGAACCTGACAGTCCAGTAGAGAGTGGGGACATCCAAAGCAGTGACTTAACCACTGAACCGCGCCCTGCAGAAATGTTCGGCAGTGCCCTCCTGTAGGCCTGTGCTCATGGAGAGTCCTAACCAGATGATGCTACCGTGGAGATGTGTTTTTGTGAACACTGCGTTTGCTGATTCTAAGATAATACTCATTGACCAGAAATAAACAGTGAAACTTGGGAAATGTAAAGAATTATCAGTAGAAAAATCAAAAGTTCTCTTATGCTGAGATGATGATTTCACATTGGAAGTGTTTTCTACTTCATGGATTTGTTCATTATAATTATGCAATCTTGGATTTATTATTTTGATTCTGGCATTTTTCACTTACTATTCCAACGTCAGCATCATTTCGTATTTTTACAAAAATCTTTATGAAGTGGTGGAATAAAATACAGTTCTCTCCACCTTCCAAACTAGCAGGAATAATGAAGCACAGAGAAGAAAATCCATCTGCAGTGAAACACGTCGTTGGCAGTAACCCAGAAGGCAGGCTGGAGGCACACCTGCCAAGTGCGTAATGCTTGGCTCCAGGTGAGGAGGACTCGCAAGTCTGCACTTACCTCATCCCGTTGGACCTTGAACAGGACAGATTTCCCTGCAGTGAAGTTCACTTCCATAGAAGACGTCTCCAGTGTGCCGTGGTACATGTGACAGGAGCTAGAGCTGCAGCTAGATTATGGGGGACGTTGGGGTGACTGTGAACATCCAAGGGCCACCCCCACTAGGCAGGCGCAGTAGCACTGGCGGAGAAAGCAGCCTGATGCGCACTTTCCCCTCTCAGGTGTCTGAAGGCACCTGCTGGAGGTGAAGAGGGAGAGGAGGAAGAGCAGCCAACAGTTACCCAGGAGCAGGGACGGAGAACCAGGGCTTTCTGGAAGACGTGGCCAGCCTTCAAGGGAAGTGCATTACTTGTCCCAGGCCGAGAACACACAAAGGCACTGTACAGAATGTAGTGAACTGAAAGGGAGAATGCTTTCTCTCTAACCTCTTTGGAGAGACATGGCCACTAGGGAGAAAATAACCCATTAAGATCAGAAATAAGAAAGAAATAGCTGAGCTTGTACAAACTTTGTGTGGTTTGCAGAAAGAGGTTAGCAAGAAGATAGAAGCCATAAATCAGAAACGAAGCAACATGGCTCAAAAGGCCTGTGTTTCTGTAATTGTAAGAGGAGCTTTGCAGCGAAAGGTGAAGCTGAGCTTTTCAAATTGCCGGGATGTCACTGTTTATTTATGAGCCAAGATAAAACTCATTTTCAGATAAATGACTAAATTGAAATACTATAATGTAGACCATTGAAGTGCTGTTATGGTTAAAAAATGTGACTATAAAAATGTCACTTTATTCCGGAACCTATTTGTTGGTTAGGTATTTTCCCTCTCCTATCTGTTCAGTTTATTGACTCCCACTAGGTTTTACTACTGCCTCACTTGCAGAGCCAAGACACAGTAGCTGTTTTAAAAGCGAGTTACAGTGACTTCAAAAAGTTCATGGAAAATGGAATTAAAGGATAGATGTATTTTGGTACAGAAAAATAATTTGAAATTCACACAGTTTTTTAATAATATGCATTTTCAAAGAGCCTTCTGAAGACCCTCATGTATGATTTCAAAAGTTTTACATCGTAAATTAGCTTCTCTCTTAATTCCATTTTTGCATGAACTTTTTGAAATTCCCTGGGCATCTCACCCAGTCCTGAAGAATATTAGGAACTCTTTAAACCAGAGCTTGTGCTGTTGCTGATGATATTAGTTGAAGTAGAAATAAAGGCACTTTGTTGGCAAGACCCATACATCATTTACAGAAAAGCAGTGGACTCTAAAATTCAAGTTCATATGTGATTACGAACTGCATTTTATATTGTTCTGCCATTTTCCTTGAGTACTTCGATGTTGATGGTGTCTCTGCCAGACTGAGCCAGTAAATTACATTTCACGTGCTGACTGCATAGGCCTCGGTGAGCTGAAATGTGTGGGGACACATGGCGATCAGGTGTTGGGAGCCTTGGTTAAATAGAGCGCACACTGTGGTGGAGATGGGGAAGACAGTTCACAAGAAAGAGATGGAGCTTTGTGAAGAGGTGAGGAGGGAAGAGTCAGCAGCAACTTGAGGGGCTGGCAGAGCAGGTGTGGTACCCCAAAGAGATTCTAAGAGGACCTTGGGGCTGGTGCTGTGATGTGGCAGGTGGAGCCACCGTCTGCAGGGTCGGCATCCCATGTGGGCACTGGTTCAAGTTCTCGCTGCGCCACTTGCAATCTGGCTGTCTGTTGTGGCCTGGGAAAGCAGCGGAGGATGCCCAGGTGCTTGGTCTCCTGCACCTGCGTGGGAGACACGGAAATGGCCCCTGGCTCCTGGCTCCAGATTGGCGCAGTTCCGGCCTTTGTGGTATTTGAGGAGTAGGCCAGTGGATGGAGGACCTTTCTCTCTCTCTCTCTGCCTCTGCCTCTTCCTCTGCCTCTTTGTGACTCTGCCTTTCAAATAAATAAATGGATAAATCTTAAAAAAAAAAAAAAAAAAGATGACCTCAGAGGAAACAGACAAAATGGCAAACTTAAGGAAGCAAAAACTTAAATAGCAAGTGCATGCCTCACATAGACTCTTTTCTACATGCTTTACATATGTTAATTTATTTCATCTTCATAATAATAGCCTGGTGCTTAGTATGATAAAGATCTCCACCATACAAATGAAAAATAAATGAAGAAAATTTTATACTGGCATACTAATATCTTAAAGTGTTTCCCCTGTGTTTTCTTCTAGTACTTTCATAGTTTAGGTCTTATAATTTAGCTCTTTGACACATTTTAGGTTGATTTTCATCAAGGATGAGATGTTGAGGGATGGGTTGTCCAAGTTTAGCCTTTTTTTTTTTAAGATTATTTATTTGAGAGACAGAGAGGAAGGTCTTCCATCCTCTGGCTCACCCCCAAAATGGCCTCAGTTGCTGGAACTGGGCAGACCAGGAGCCAGGAGCTTCTTCTGGGTCTCCCTCATGGGTACAGGGGCCCAAGCACTTGGAACATCTTCCACTGCTTTCCCAGGCCATTAGCAGGGAACTTGATTGGAAGTGGAGCAGCTAGGACTTGAACCAGCATCCATATGAGATGCTGGTGCCACAGGCAGAGGCTTAACTTATTATGCCATGGCAGTGGCCCCCCAGGTTCAGTCTTCTACATGTGGATATCCAGTTTTTTTGTTGTTGTTGTTGTTGTTTTTTGTACAGGCAGAGTGGACAGTGAGAGAGAGAGAGAGAAAGGTCTTCCTTTACTGTTGGTTCACCCTCCAATAGCCATCCTCCACTGCACTCCCAGGCCACAGCAGAGAGCTGGCCTGGAAGAGGGGCAACCGGGACAGAATCCGGTGCCCCGACCTGGACTAGAACCTGGGGTGCTGGTGCCGCAGGTGGAGGATTAGCCTATTGAGCCACGGCATCAGCCCAGTTTTTTTTTTTTTTTTAATCCCCAGTACCAGTTATTGAAGTGACAGTCCTTTGGTATAGGTGACAGTTTTTTTTGATAAGACCCCGAACGCACAGGCAACAGAAGCACACCTAAACAAATAGGACTATATCAAACCAAGAAGCTTCTGTACAGCAAAGGAAACAGTCAGTAGAGTGAAGAGACATCCAACAGAATGGGAGAAAGAATATGAAGGAACTCAATAACCACAAAATGAACACTCCAGTTAGGAAGTGGGCAGTGGACTTGAATATTTCACAAATGAAGACGCACAGATGGTGACAGATACATGAGGAAATGGTTAATATCATTAGTCATCAAGGAAATGCACATCAAAACCACAGTGCAATTTTATCTTGTTCCAATTAGAAATGTCATTATCAAAAAATATTAAAAATAAATGCTAGTAAGACCATGGAAAAAAACAGAACCCCTATACACAATTGGTGAGAGTGCACATTAGTACAGCATCATGGAGAGCACAGGGCGGAGGTGCCTCAGAAAACTGTAGACACATGTGACCAGGCTATCACAATTCTGCATATCTGTCCAAAGTAAATGAAATCAGCCTATCAAAGAGGCACCTGCACTATTCACAAGAGCCAGGGTATGGACCTAGGTATCCATCGATGGAATGAATGGATAAAGAAAATGTGCTGTGTATGTATACAATGGAATGTGATGGAGCCGTAAAGAGGATGAAATCCTGATGTTTGCAGCAAAATTGATGGATCCTTATGTTAAGTAAGCCAGACGCAGGAAGACAAATACCACATGTTCTCTCTCTCGTGTGGAAGTTTAAAAATAGTCTATCTGAGCTTGGAAGAGTGATTACTAGAGGCTGGGAAGTGTTGGGGGAGGGGGAGAGGGCAGCTAGACAACGAGTGCCCATGCACAGTTAGAATGCTGTAGCGGGCTCTGGTGTTCCACAGCTCAGTGGGGCACGTACTTTCCACACCAATGTGTTAGATGCTGAGTGAGGAACTGGAAAAGAGCTGCCTGGATGCTCTAATCAGAAACGATAAAGAAATGGAAATGCTAATTGTCTGATTTGGTCATTGTATCCTGTATACATGTTGAAATATCACCCAAGTATTGTGTGTTAGTCAAAAATTTAAGCAAATAGATAAAGTGACTTGTTGAAGTCACACAGCTGACAAGAGGCCCAGCAAGAATTCTTGAATGGTGGGAGCTTCAGATACAAGTCCATGCTCTTGATGACACTGTCCTGCCTCTTTCAAACAAGAGTGAGAACAAAGTAGCAGCATTTTCAAGAGTTCAGCTGCTGCTAATATGAAAGAATGAATTGACAGGTGGCCGTTCAAGGTCAACACCTGCATCATCCATACTAGAGGCTCATAGAGACAGGTGATGTATGAGAGGAGCCCACATTCATATCAGTGGAAGTCAGTTGGGGAGATTCAGGGTGGGGTTGCCTACTGTGGATTACAGAAAAGATTCAATGGTGAAGCTTACATTGAAAACTATAGATTCATAGGAGAAAAAAATTGTTTATTTTAAAAGTTCTGCCACTGAAAAATATTATAAAATATACTTATTTTTGCAATTTTGCAGTAGTCTACATTAAATAGATTATAAAATATTTATTGTCACCACTATTATGGGCAAGATGACCACAAAGAAAGGTGACCTTGGTTCTTAGTCTCACATGAAAGAAGAATTTCCACGTGGACAAGCGGTGAGCAAAGAAAGATTTATCTAAGTCAGAAACATGCTGCTGCAGCGGCTCGGAGGGCGGCTCCAAGAGTGGCAGAACCGAGAAACCGATGGAAGTGGAGTCTTGAGCACGGTTTTGAGGGGAAAAAGCAGAACAGCGGTCAGAAGATTGGGACAAAACCCATCAAAAGGCTGGATACGTAATCCTGTCTCTCCTGTCTAGCCTGCTCATGATAAAGCAAAAAGCCATCAGAAAGATGTGACTGGGAGCTTCTTTATATTCTCCTGATAAACCAAGACTCTGAAGGATAGAACCACTACTTCTAGCCATTCTTGTGATAAAACCGGAAAATCAAGAGAGGGATTTGGCACTTACACCTTGGGGAGAAGCGTGCAGT